CTGCAATGGATAAAATGCTGAAGTTGACCGCGAAATATTCTCATATAATTTAGCTGAGACATATACTTTGCACGTGTAATGTACTTTTGATAATATAAAGAGTTGTGCTAATCTAAGTCACGTTGAACACGACGTTCTCTCGTGTACTTTTAGGCGTGTTGCGCAAAAGAGGAAACGAGGTTTATGTGAAATGGTTGGGACTTGACAAATCACACAGTTCGTGGATTCATAAAGACAATGTACTATAAAATTATAAAATTATACATTATAAAATTATACATTATATAAATTATGCGTTATAAAATTTTATACGTTACATAAATTATATTACACATTAAAGTATATTAAATATCCTTTACAAATATACGAGTATATTACATATTATATATTACATATATTATACATTTTATACATGTTATACATGTTAAAAATCTTATATGTATACGAAATGCGTTTTATTTACATCGGTAATGTCCCCATGGTAGCGTGTCGGTAGAACCTGATACGATATACCGCTTATCATCATGCGGACTTAGAGCGATTTTTGTTTCCGATATCGTATACATCTCGTGCAATTTCGATATGATGCACGATTATCTGCAAGTCATTTCAATAGCGTCGTTTAAGCATCGGGTGTAATCATCAAACGTTATGGATCTTGCCACAATTACTTTTGACACCCTTTGCCTTTTTCGTATCCTTCTTTCCTTGCACACGTAAAGCGTACATTTTCGCTCTAAATCCGACGAATTCAGTCATGATGGCACCGTTGTTCTCGTCTTTCATAAGACCAGGAACTTTTTTATTCGCAAGCGGAATGCGATATGGATGGTCGACAGAGTAATCGTTCGTATCAAATCTATTGATATCGCGTTTAATAATTTTATATACGTCGTCACACTCTACATGGTATATGAGACTATCAGTATCGGTATACATAATTTTGCATTTATCGTGAAACAGTGGTGCCATATATTCTTGGTGAAATTCGTACAAACACGTTTTCGATATATCGAGAATGCACATACCCACGTATATCGGTTTGTCGAATTTCACCTCGAGCTTACGCAGTTCTATCGCGACCAGATTCTCCGAGAAAACGCTACGACTGTGAAAGTTAGGTTTCGCGATTATTGCTTCGGCACCGTATCTGCCTTCCCATTTTGTTACTAATTTTACATCAACGCGATCGCGCACATTCTCCATGGTTTTACTAAATACGCATTATTCATAAGTTTGTATAAATTCTTCTCAAAATCATTCTTTGCCAAAGTTCTAAATTTTGTATTTAATTCTATATAGTCACGAAGCCATGGAGATTGCGTGAATTGTAGTATACGGTGAACCTTTGCGATACGGAGGCCGTGACGAGTACACTGCTGCAGATTGCGATAATGAATCACGTAACGCTGCTTATCGCATAACGTCGCGAGGAGCTTGTCATCGCGCTTGCCGGGCGGTTTCTCTCGCGTCGGACAGAACGGTAGGTCAGTGTGCGCGTCGTGGAGATGTTGCGGATATTCCAAGTCTACCTCGAGAATATAGCCTGTAGGTGAATCTAGCGCGATGGTCGAAAAGTCGAAATTCTTTGACCCATCGAAAGTCGGCGTATGGCAATGGTTGACACATTGCCCAGCCATAGAGGTTGTTGACGTCATAGTACATTAAATATGATGACTGTTTCGATGGGTCGTACGACGGTATGTATTTGTTGTTAGTTCGTGCGTACCTGTTTGAGCACTGACTCAGACCACCGCGTATACCGCGCTCGACAAACATGACCATGTCAATGTCTGTAAGTAATTCGAATTTTACACCTGTATGCTCCAACATGGCATCCCATGTGAAGCCGGGTAAGGTGTAATAGTACGCGGGGTCGAGCCCGTAACTCGTGACGCAACTATCGCGGAAATTTTCGAAGACGTCGGCTAACAGCAATACATCTGTTTTTAGATACAGATCGCTATATTCACCGAGCGTTTGGATGGAGAACCGCTGCCACACGTTGACAGCGTGCGCGTAATCGCTCTCGGATACCATGTCGTCTGTCAATGAAATGTAAAACGACTCGCGAGGCGGCAAGGATGATTCATTCAATTTTTCACTGCAGTCAATGTACTCGTACGGAAAGATACCTATTCGAGTTAAAAGATTAAAATTTTCGTCCGATAAATGAGAAAATTCGCGTCGCAGTACCCGCAGCTTATCTTTATTGAGAAAAGATGCTAATTTGTCTAAACTAGAAGCGAGAAATCTGTATGAATCTATGAAACGTAATGTCACACAAATATTTTTTTCGTCATTTTCATCTTTAGTGTCGTCGACGTGTTTAGTAAAAGAGATATATTTTTGTTTAGTTATTGGTAATAAAACTATATTTCCGTCGTACGCGGTTGCAATTTCTTTGATGATAAAATGCGCGTCGTAGCCCGATAAATTGTGAAAGACTACGGGTATGCAACGCGAATCCTTATAATTTAAATTACAATTTGAATGCGCTGGACCTCTGTATCGTCCGGTGAGATGGCAGTGATCGCGTACCCGCTTATCATTTTTCATGAACGGTTTCTCGCAGATATGGCAGTGCGTTGCGCTATTAAATTTTCGCCAATCATCTCGCGTGAAATCCATAACCACGTTAGCGGATAAGATACTCTTTACTTCATGCGCTAGATTTTTCAATTCGCCCGCGAACCACGATATACAGTCTTTGTCGCGGTGAAAACGATAACCCGACAGCAAATTGCCATAAGAGCAGTACACGAAATACCCGATACTGAAGACGTTGTCATGTTGGTATGTGTACGTCGATGATGCTTTATCCATCTTTTCCAGTGCGCACTCCAAATCGGCGTAGGCCACGAACGGGACGCGCTCCTTTCTGCAATGGTTCTTGAACTCGAGCCACTTGTCATCCTCGCTCGGTAGCCTTATCGCACAATCGTTTAATTTCCCGCAATCCGTTTTGTAGAGCTCCAATTTAGCGCTCGAGCTAAAGTAGGCATCTGGAAGAAGAATAAAAAATAAAATTATTAGTATTACCGTTATTATTATTATTATTATTATTATTA